CAATAAATAACAAAGAAGACCTTTGACCGGCACTTTTCTAATTTTGTCAGGAAGATTTAAACTTTAACGGACATCTTGACCGGCGAAACAAACTGAAACTGAAACTCTGCCGCACGGTCCCCTCGTTCCTTGGAAGAGGCGGAGAGGTGGGTGTTTGTCATATGCTGGTGGACTAACCGGAGAGAATTACAGTGCTTGCCTCGACGGGGAGGGATTGCATTGAATTAAAGCAGCGGGAGCAAACGCTTGCCTCGGGGAGGGAGAAAAAAAGCCACAGCGGAGAATAAACAGAAGGGTAACCATGGTAACTATGGGCGGGAAGTCTTCTTCGCTGCTTTTGTGGCAGACTACAGCGCCACTTACAGGCCTGGCATATGTACTACAGCGTCTCCAGCGCTTTCGAGCGGCAATGGCCGGCCGTGGCCCAACCCCACATTCCCCTGATAGGTGGAGAGTTGGCCCCTTTTTTAGAGATTTGGGTATGGAGGAAAATAGAGAGGGTTGTGTTTTCTGACACTTGGTGAGTTCCCTGGAACACCGGGGACACATATTCATGTATAAAAGACGTACAAAAGTGCATTTTGCATGATAGGTCCCCTTTATTCTGAGGTAGATCACAAAGGTCAGTTGTATACTAATTATATAATACAGATTAAATGGATATGGACCAAATGCTTTTTTGTATGAATAGTATGAATTTCATAGTCCGAAGAAGTAGAATTTATCGGTCTTGGTTTAAAAACAAAACAATTGAAAGTGGGCCGTGGCTGATCGACTTTAGATTTTCTGACTTGCTAGCTATTGGTCATAATACTTTTGTCTAGACAGGAGAATTTAGAGGATTCTGTTCCGACGACACAGATTACAGTGTCAGCCAGGGCAGAAGTGAGCCTCGGGAGTAAAGGCCGATGAGTGACAGCTGGAGGAAGAGCGAGGGGCAGAGAAACACCGAGAAACATCCCAAACACAGCGAAATGAAAAAGATAAAACCCAGGCAGTGGGCAGCAGGGTTTCAGCAGATACAGACCAGACACCTAGTAAATCAAAAGTGAGGATTGAGATTAGTTAAATACGGTGTTGGGTGTTTTTTAGAAAAATCCTTCTTATTGTTCCTTCAAGAATCGACCTACTGTTTGAGACAGCCACTGTTTTCCATCTAAACAGTTTTAAAAAATCTATAATTTCCATCAGTTATGTCATCAGGTTTGTATCCGCTGTTGCCTACAGTATGTGAAATCATTGGTAATCCAGTCTAGGTGCAGATTTTTAAAAGAAATACATTAAACAAAAATTGATGCAGACTTGACGATCACTATGACTATGTTTCAAGGTATACATATTACACAGAATGTATGGCAACAAATGGATGCTTTGAGAAAGATACAAAAATACATAGACATTTCTTAACCACACAGCATCATGGTTTGCTAAATGTTTCCGATGTGTGCAATACTTTTAATAGATAGAACATGTAGACTTAAAATGTAGACCAAAATAATTTCTCTTTAAAGATTAACATTTTAGGAACAAAGACATTTGTTTGTCAGCACACCATTGCTGTAGCATCATGTGCTCTATGTGTGAACTAACAGGGAAGTCATGTTAGTTCACACATGACATGTAACAGACATATGACAAAACAAACAAACAAAGGCCACCATCAATGATTGGTATTAATAGCGGAAACACAAATGACAGTGCTGAAACTGTCAGCTGAAACTTGACATTATCCATTTATTTATCTTTTCTTCTTTTAAGTTGTTGTGCCTCCGAGGACCATCACCCAATTATCTTCTGGCAGCATGACATTACCTTGAAGATTTATGGGACAGATTATTGAAAAAGTCAGGCTTAAGAGGAGATGGGAAACAGAAAATCAATGACACACTGTAGTTTTACTCCTTGAAATCTTAAATGTCTAAAGTGTAGGGCTCTGTGATGTATGGCCGCCTTAAACGATATGTGTGTGTGTGTGTGTGTGTGTGTGTGTGTGTGTGTGTGTGTGTGTGTGTGTGTGTGTGTGTGTGTGTGTGTGTGTGTGTGTGTGTGTGTGTGTGTGTGTGTGTGTCTATTTGTCTGTGTGTATGTGTGTGTCTGTGTGTCTTTCTGTCCATCCGTGTGTGTGTGTGTGTGTGTGTGTGTGTGTGTGTGTGTGTGTGTGTGTGTGTGTGTGTGTGTGTGTGTGTGTGTGTGTGTGATACTGTTTTTCACCTCTTGGCCTGCATTGCCCTGGTCATGTGGTCATCTTTTTTTGTGAGTGTAGTGAGCAAAAGAGCCACTACTGTAATTGGCTCTCTGTCTTCGTCTGCGAGTCTCAGATAGGAAACAGCCAACACACAAACAAACCCACACACGCCTCCACACTTGGATAAAAGCAAACTTGAAGGCAGTCTTTTTGTATCCCCTTCTTTCGCCATCCCTCCCCTCTCCCTCTTAATGTGTTTAAGTCATTTCAGGCTAGGAGCTCTGCGTCGTAGTTAGTCATTTCCTTCTAGTCTTTCAGGTGACTGCTTGCTTTGTGCTCCAGGTGGAATTGGGGCCTTATCAGCTGCAGGGCAGGAGCCCAGTGGCCACATCACACAGAATACAGCAGTTCCTCCAACCGCATGGCTGCCCCACATGATTAAACCCAATCTGACCGCCTGTGTGTCGGTACTATATTGGTGTGTTTGTGAGGGAAGGAGAGTCTAGAGGAGGATGATGAGCATAGGAATGCCAATGAGGTGCATTTGTCTCTGATCAAGGTGCTTGTGATGTTGAGTACATTCAGTAGGTAGGTAATGTCTGTCAATTGTATTTTACTGCTTCAGGGTTCTGGCAATTGCTGTATTCTACATTCCGCTTGTTTAAGAAAATGAGCACTGGGCTTTTTTATATTTCCAACAGCCTCCTAATTTTCACATGATGCTTTTGTACCACACTGCCGCGGGCTTGCAGGACAAAAAGGCCAACAATGCCTGTGTGGGCACAAACACAACCTTTTTCTTTGAAGAACATTATGTTTCTATCCTCTGTGCCCTAAATGACTGCAAGTGGTTCAATGGGTTATTTTTAAACAAGCTTTGGATGAATAAAAAAGGGAGAAAAGAAAGGAAAGAGTAGAAATCAATGTTTGTGTCTTTTCAGATAAATGCATGGAGCCAGGCTGTGTAAGGCGGTAAGAGGGTAATCTGTGAAACAACAATACCGTGGGCTGACAGGAGACGCAGTAATCTAGGCTGGACCAGCGCTATCCTTAAACAGAGTGTTCTGTGTCTGAAAGATTACACTGTAAGCTCTGACACCATAATGGTCCTGCAGCACACACATATACACACACTGAATTGCTTCTGCCTGCATGGAGCTTCTTTAAGGTACCCCTGTTCAGGATGTAGTCTTTAGTGAGAGACTTGCTGGCAGAATGCATGGATGGGAATCTGATTGAGGCCCGCTGCCAACATGAGCAGAGATGTGAGCAGTGATTGACACTAGATAAATAATGAGATAAGCGAGATGCAGCGGAAAGAATACTCAATGGAGCAGACTAACAGTCTGTATTGTGTCCTGTGTGTTCCATACATTCATTTATTTTTGAGTCACCAGATAAAAACTGACAGCTAAAGACTCACGTTGGTCGTTTATTTCAGCTTTTCCCCTCCACTTCCGCCATATATGTTAATTGTTTTGCAAGGGCATAGATGAGAGCAGTGATATGTCACGGTCTGGTGAAATGACGCCCACTTTCCAGTGCAAACAAAGAAATGGCGCCATGTGGAAGAATTTGTTTTATCATGCATAGAGGCTGCTGTGTCGTGTTTTGCACATCAAACAACAACAATAATCGGAAGTTATGATTTTCTATACTCAACTTAGAAAAGAAGACTGGAAAAGAAAAGATCTGTGGCTTCAGGTCATCCACAGAGATGACAAAAAGCACAATCAATGGGACCCGGTCAGTCCATACATGTAACTGTTGCCTGTCTGGGCGGCTCCTTTTAGGTAAAAAGAAAAACCCACAATATTCTTTATTTTATATGTAATTGGTGAAAACTTCTGAATTTCTATTTACTGATTTGACTGGCAGTGAATGTTTTCACCCATAAAGGGGCACGGCTATGACGTAGAGGGCAGTACTCTCTTGCTCACATAGATAGTCCCTGGATTCTATGACAGGCGCCGCCAGAGACAATTGTGATTCGGTGAAAGAAAATAACTAGTGGTTCTTTCCCCTTTACCAGATTGATGACAGGAGCAGCCAGACCTTTCTGCTTAAACTAAAGTTATGTTATGAAATGCAAGTGTTCTATTAAGGTCAAACATGTTTATTGCATCTTCATCCTCAAAAAACAGCAAACAATATTTTTAGAAAGGGTTTCAAAACTGCAATGTTTCAATCTAAATTTGCTCGTCTCCTTCTCTAGTATGTTTTTCACATTTCTACACTTCTCATACGAGTGGGATGGCTCGAAACGGCATAAATTGCTAACATGTGTGCACAACGCAAATACAAATGAATACCCACTAAGAAAAATGTTGCGCCACTAGTGGTAAAATTACTCCACAGGGTACCTTACATGTGCTTTTACAATAAGGAGGAAGACAATGTTTCCTCTTTTCCCAATGGGGGGTTTGTGCAGTTTGGGCTCTTAACAATAACATCCAATGTTTAGTCCAATATGCTTTAGTCAAGAACACATCAAACCATTTTGCAACTCCCCTCTTTAAATGTGTCCATGTTTTCATCTCTGCAGGTACTTTATCTATCTACCTCCATGAATGAGCACAATATTTTCTCTCGAGTTCGATAACAACAACAACTCAGACACCTTTGCCTTGATTCCTGTTCTCATTCACTTGTGTCTTTCTTTTAACTTAGAATGAGTTTGTGCTGCCTCTTTATTCAAATCTATACCTTCCTCTTCTGTCTGAGTCAAGTCTGATGGGTTCTGTTATGGTCCATAGGTTCCAGTATCCTCAGTTCCTTAGGTTCGTTAATGTTTTTTGTCTGTCTCCTCCAACAGTTTGAGGCTAATGTGTACGAGGGCTCGACGGGCGTGGTGGTGAACCTGACGGTAGACGATAGAGACGACCCAGGCACGGGGGCGGGGAGAGCGATCTACTCTATAATTAACGGAGATCCAACACTGAGCTTTGAGATCCAAACCAACCCAGACAACAACGAGGGGATGCTGTCTGTCATCAAGGTGAAATACTGTATATCAAACTGCCCAATACATTCATTTGATAACATGATTACCATCCCCTTACATCCACAATGATTTTCTCCCTTCAGCCTTTGGACTATGAGGCCGAAAGGTTCCACGCGCTACTCATCAAAGTGGAGAACGAGGACCCTCTGGTTCCTGATGTTGGCTACGGCCCCAGCTCCACTGCCACGGTCCGCGTCACAGTCCTGGACATCAACGAGGGCCCCGTATTCTTCCCCGACCCCCTGACAGTCAACAAGATGGAAAACATCCCTCTGGGAAGCTTCGTGGCTTCACTCAACGCCACAGACCCAGATATATTACAGGCACAGAGCATCAGGTAAGGAGCCTTGGTCCTGAGTCGTTGTGAGGTTATTTGAAATCCAGAAAATCACAAGATAGAGATTGTTTGTGCTGTGCGATTGAATGTCGTCTGCTCAGTAATGAGGTTTCTGATATTTATTCAGTTTCACTCTGTTTAGTTTGGCAACAACATGAAGTATCCTTTGCTAATGCGACTCTTTGCAAAGCGCGTATAGAAGAGCAGTTCTTTGATGTCAGTAAACGTTCAGATATGTTTATCTCTCACATCGGGTTCACATCTCCTGCGTCCCTTCATCACAGATTGTTTTTCTTTTGCCTGTCAGGCTACTGTTGTGTAAACAGATGAATGATATTGCCATTTTACTGGCATAGGTCACCCAAGTCAATGGAAAGTCACAGAGCCGGCCAGCTCATTAACTTTAACTATGTTACAGAAAAAGCGTTCTCTCAAATATTACCCTCATCATAACAGGAAGGCTATTAGTTTCACTCTGTGCTACAATAACAATGATTCCTCTCGCTGCCAGAGGGAGCCCCATAGCATTCGCTGCACTACCTTATAAAAGATAGAAAACCTATCATTGCATTTATTGGCTTTCAGGCCTAATTTGTTCTCAATCAGATTGCTCACTGTCTGCACCCTCAGAGTTATATGTAAAATGTAAAGTAAACACATGGGGATAATAAGCCAGGGGAATAAAATTCACCACATCGTGACTTTTATGCTCAGATTATTGATGCTGCTTTATGTGCTATAAAACGTAGTCACCATGTCAGTATCCAATGCTACATAACGGGCAGATTATTAACTGAAGGTTGTATACGAGTCAAGACCTGTCTCCATAAAGATTTCACGAGTGGAGAGTCTAAAGTCATCAGTCAGGTCACATGAAAGCAGCTATTGGTCTTTAGTCATTCATGTATCGCTCCTGAATAGCACTCCACTTATAAAAATGGAAAAACTCTCAATAATATGTTGAAACTATATGACACACAAGCTGGGTTATGTAGGAAAGTTGTCGTCGTCTGTTTATGTTTTATTTCTGACTCAACAACAATTTTAATATCCGCATTTGGATTTTGAAGCTATACTGATAACTTAAAAGCCTTCTTCAAAGAATTTGGTGACATTTCATCTATCTATAGTCACGGAGGGCTCCGTGTTTATGACACCTTCTTTGCATCTCTGACTGATCTTCCAAGTCGTAGATCTGCATCTTCCTAACTTTATCCTTGCTGCTCCGCTCCTCTCATCCTCGGCATACATTTCTGTATTTATTTCATGGCCTCTGCGTTTGTTGTCATTTCATCCTCTGACATTTTTCCTGGTAAAAGTTACTTTGAAGTGTCATAACTGTGACCCGCAGACAGGTTGAGGACATGAGAAAGACAGACGAGTGGAGAAGTGGAAATAGGGAGGGAGCGTGCACAGAATAAAATGGCAAAAAAAAGATCTGTTATCCTGCCTCTCTCTTGCTCTGTCTGTCTCAGCATAACTGTGTGTTTGTGTGTGTCGGTGTGGCTACCCCTTGGGATGCACAGGTCAATTGCATTTGACATGGAACACAATCTGTGTGACGCGCTGGTCAGGGTCCGTATCACACCGTTACACACACACACACTTGCATGGTTATATGTGCATTTTTGTGACGTCTTTAACAACAATAATAATGGACGTAAACAGGCATCCTCATGTTTACGTTGCATTAAACATAACAGTCTGGCCAGTGCACTTTTTGAAATAGCTGTTCATTTTGAGTAAGTCAATACATGAAATAATTGCATTACAGTGCACAGCTGAGCCCTAATTGAAAGACTGTTGTTACCTGGTGGCTCCTGTGAGGTGTTATAATTGCAGGGGCCATCAGTTTTGTTAAACCTGTACAAAACTGCCATGTGATATTTCTGGACAGCTGTTTCGACCCAATGCAGATTCAGGACCCATTCAGCTTTGATTATAATTTCAGTGGGATTTGAGGAAACAATTATTTACCATGCAGCTGTGACTAAATGTGTTTTTGCAGGGGACATTTTAGACAATGCAAAATGACAGGAATCAGTTCGTCTTCACACACCAAAACTCACTTGAAGCCAAACACAACAATACAAGTTAAGATGGGATGATCCAAATCTTGTAGTGCAAGTCACATTAAAACATAAGTCAGAGAGGCTCTATCTTCTGTGAAGTCACATGTTTGCAGGTGAAACGCAACATGTGGAAAGGGTTAGGTGGCAAGAGGGATTTAAATCAAATCCTTAAGATCTGGTTGGATTGCTCGAGGGACACTGCTTATTAACTATGGTGGTGCAATGCAGAGCTGTAAAGGATAATTGGATGTCACCCACACCTCAATTCCTCCTGCTCCACTTTTGTAGGATCAGGAGACGGTAGATGAGGAAAGAACTTATAAACCTCGACGTTTAAAGTTTATATTCACAATTTCTCGTATGCTGAGTTTGTCCTTGATTGAAATGATTCTAAATGGAGGAAAGCCACCATTAGTGGTATTAGCTACACCTGACTAGAATGATGATGACTGTGAAAGACTGTTGGCAAATCACTTAAAGTTTTATTTATATAGCATAACTGCTTCTCACACAAAAATATAAAAGAATGAATTTATATGTTATAACAATGTCACAAACAGAACAATGAAAAACAAGAACAAACAACACAATATATAAATAGACATATAAAGATGATCTTTTCGTTTTGCAGTACAAGCAGGGGGATGTATATAAAGGCTATCATGTATAAGATTTGAGGGTTATAGGGTTAGGGTGTGGGAGTGCTTGAAGAGTAGAATGAAGACCAAGGAGATCAAAAATGCAACTGGGGACAATGTCATGAAGAGCCTGATATCTAATCAACAGCAAATTAAGGAATAGACAAGGTTTGTTTCAGTTATTAAACTGGCAGCTGCATTTTTAACCAATTGCAAACCAATAAAAGCAGCCTTACCAAGGCACGTATAGATAGAATACTAACAATCTAGATGGGGAAAAGTGACATAACTGAGGGAGTCCAGTAAATTCATAATTTTTTCATAAATAATACCAAAGTACTTAGCGGTAGATTCATATTAGAGTGAAATAAAAAAAGGAAAAACAATGTAAAAACTGATTCACTGTCATTGCCAAACCATCAGTTAAAAAACTCACTTAAGGGCTGCTGTAGGATCAAATGGTGTCCTTATGACAACTTGGCCCAATGCTATGCTATTTAGGCTGCAATTGACCAATTTAGATATTTCACTGCAGTTACAGTCTTCATGTCTGCAGGATGACAGAATTAAGATGAAGCCTTATGACAACCGACGCATTATTAGAAATGTTAACTTAAAGGTAGGGTAGGTAAGTTTGAGAAACCGGCTCGAGATCGCTAGAATTTGAAAATACACAACCGGAGAAAATCTGCCACTTCCTTATAGAGCCCCTCCTCCAACACACACGAACGCGCACATGACCAATGAGGGCACGAGATAAGTTTGTGCACAGATGGAAGGCTGACAGGCAGGTAGGCCATCCAGTTATTTTAGCCGGGCCGGCTAAAATGATTGGTCGTGCTTTTTACAGTAGTACGGCTTCCACAGATGACATTTTTTTATGGATTTTTTGTCAAAGCACTTAAGATATTCATTGCTATCGGGATGTTAAGAGCATTCCATGGAATATAACAAAAAGTGTATCTCGAGCCGGTTTCTCAAACTTACCTACCCTACCTTTAAGCTCTTATTATCCAAATTGAAACAATTAGTGATTGTTTTTAAAATTGTAGACTAAAGGAACATGCTGTGCTGTGAAGCTTCTCATTAGCCTGGTTTCCATTGAACCCACAGGTTAATCTCATTATCCAGGTTGTTCGACAGCCTTCCTTTATCTTTTTCTTCTTAATGTTATTTAAAACAGGTTATGTGCCTGGGAGGGTGTGAGATTTTAGCAAATAAATAATTGAAATCTGTTACACTTTGACCACAAACACTTTGAATTAGGCCAGCCTCTGATGAGTCTGTCTTCTTTCCTTTCATATTGTTGACGGTGTGAAAAAAAAGCTTTTCTGGAGGACATGTTATTAAATCTTAATGATAGAAGACAACATCAACCTTTCACATGAATAACAAGGGGCATCTATTAATAGATTTGTTTTCATCTAAATGATAAACTTCATTATTAAAACAGTGCTCTGGGCTTTTTTTTTGTATTTACCCTAATCAGCACACTGGTGAAAAGAATAATTGAAAACAACAACAACGCAATTTTCCTTTTTTCAAACTGACCTTAGATAGTCCAGACTCGTAAACGGACATGTTACATAATTACTGCAAACATGAGTCGTTTGAATCCTGTCCAAACTATTAGGCTGCGGGGGGGATTTGTCTGCTGAAGAAGTTTTCTAGCCCTCTTGACTGATTTAAGGATTTATTCAAGCGGAATGGTTTTTAGAGAGCGAGGCAGTGGGAACGTCAGACAGCGCTGATGGGAGACGGAGAGACTTGGACTTGCTTTTGAATAAAATGTATCTCTGGTAAACCTCTGATTTAGAAGTGTTGTGTTTAGTGCGTGGGTGCTAAGCGTTGAGGAAATATTAAGCACTTCAGGGCTGTTTTGTACCCTAAAATCTGGATGGAAGAAAGTTTATAATCAGTAAGTTTATACTCTAATATTTCCTCAAATCCCATCTTTGTGGGGGAAACTTCTGTAGCAATGCAGGGGAGTCACCGACTCAAAAGGAGACACGAGGAGAGCTGGAGCTTTGATGTCAAACACTGATGGTTTATTTGGAGTATCAGCCGGAGAATTCACAAGACATGTCAAGAGGTTCTGAGTTGCCACAATCAATTCTGCAGAAACCTTCCTTTGCATGATGTTTTAACTAGTTTGGAGGAGGCTAATCAACATTCTTTACTAGATAGACTAAACAGCTTGGGACAGTGAATGACTTGCAGTTGGCAGGTAGCTTTGAGGAGCCGAAGGGAGGGAAGAGAGACTGAGACAGATCAATGGACACACAGAGAA